GTGTGGGGGGGGAAAACCGATTTGTGGGGGCGGCGTTTTCTTTAGAGTTGGGGAGCACTTTAACCCCCGAGTGGATATTTTAAGACACCTCTTGTTTTCTTTTTTCGCGGGGGGCGATGGACCACTTTGAAATGTGCCTCGGCCTGTCACGGGAGGTTCAGAATTGCAGGGAGGAGGTGTTTGCACCCGTCATACACTGCTTCCCAAAATAGTTAATTTCTAAGGGGGTGGGGCCGGGGGGGGTTTCATGGTACCACGAGGCACACCACGATCTGGCCTAGTCCCCCTTTTTATTCCCGTTTTTGATACACATCTTGCCCTCAGTAATGCACAGCAGTCATATAGCAGACAGACAATCTCTAAGGTCAGTAAAGATCAGTAAGTTTCAGTAAACATTTACTTGGAGGCTATCAGGTCAGGAAATTGCTTCAAGCCATCTTGACCTCAACACGAACAATTGGTGCGTAGCATTAGCCTCCCGTGTTCCTTGGTGCACACTCATGACAGTGCTGGTATGCGGTGGCTTCTGGCAGAATGCATGGGAAATGCACAGGCAACTCCACCTGGCAGCCGATGGGCCGCATTCTGACTGTAAGTCCTGGGCACTGTAGGACATCTTCTGACAGACCCACAGAAAGGACTTTGACTTCTTTTATAATCACTGGCAAGAAAAATCAGGAGAAAGGTGATTTAATTATAGGACCGAATGAACTAAAAATAATTGTAGTTTTTGTCATTAAAAAATATCACTGATTTTTAACCTCCTTGTTTTCCAGACATAAGGGACCTTGTTTCTTTTCTTAAAGCATTTTTGTAAATTTTACTTTCATAAGCAATATTGGGGCATTTATATTTTTTTCCATACCTGATCTCTCCAGAATGAGTATTATTGTTCTCATGGCAATGTGTTTGTTTGCATAAGTCCAATAAGAATCTGATTTCTTCACAACAGGACATAAGCCAATTTTCAATTGTGGTTTTATTAACCAAAACTTTACTGGAATGTCATGTCTGAGAGAGATATGCCAGGACTCTGGATGTCACCAGAAAGCTCTAAGGAATAAAGATCGACTTTGAAGTCTATAAGCCCGTTGGATAAATAGCCTGGTACCTTGCTTAGTCACATGGTTCATAATGGTCTTTCCAGGTAAGGAACGAAGGTTGCTTTTCTGAGAGATGGCATGAAAGGAACCACAAAACACCCAGGGGACCTCAGCTTGAGGAATGCACCCTGATTCTGTAGGAATTGCAGGCAAAGCCTAATGGCAACTGTGTAGCTTGGCTTCTTTGCCCTGGGAGTAAACTTTCTCATGAGATTCCAGGAAAGCACTTTAAAAAAAAAAAAAGCCTATGTAATCAATTGTTATTCTTGTTGTGTTCATGCAAACGATTAGGCCAAATTGAAACTACACTTAATACAATAAATAAATTGGTCTTAATATCTCTTTAATGAAAATATGGGTGATTTCAACAGGAAAGTATAAGAATTGAAATGTTTTTCCCTTGCACCAGACTATTTGTCATAATTCTTGCTGTTCTAACATTTGCCTGATAATCCTAAATTTTATAACACAGTTTGTCTCCACCAGGTTACTAACCCTACTCGGACCTAGAAAATACCACCTCTAGGCACCTCCTTCTGTGCCCAGGCATCATCATCCCTTTGACAGAGAGAAAGGATCTCTTGGCTCTGAGAGAAACCTTTGACCCTCCTCAGCAGGAAGTAGTTTCAGAAGAGACCCGAGGCCCCCTTTCCCTGAAAGAATTCAGAGCCAAGATCCTTGAAGGGGAATATGGTAGGCAGTTAGAGAGACATAAGCAGAGCAAGGATGATGGGCCAAATGGAGCAGAAATGGATAGGCCAACTGCTCTTAAGCTGGCAATGAAGAAATCTGTATAGAACTGACCTTTACATTTTGCTGAGTAGGAGTTGGGACACCTATTGATAATATATAGAATTATTCCATTAACTAATTGGAAAGAATTTACAGTTTTGGTAATAGAAGGCATAAAGATGCATTTTGAAAGAAAAAGAAAGTAGATCGACAAACTGAAGGGGACTAGGCAAGTTACAGAGGGTTTGTGTAAGTTGCAGAAGTTGCAGAGGGTCTGTGCATGTCAAAAAAGAATTAGAGTTGAGGAAGGGATATAAAGAAATATATATGACAGGAAGAAAGGATATTGGAGTAGGAATATTTAAGAAGGGAATGGAAAAGAAGTTCTATAGTGTTGGAAATAGAAGGCATAGGTATAGAGATACAAATGAAGAAAGTGAGTTAAAGTTATAAGGTTTGTGAAAGTCATAGAAGGGTTTGTGTAAAGAAATCTTAAAAAGAAATTATAGGTATATTGAATAATAAATCTAATTCGATAAATGAATCTAAAGTAAACTAATACAGAATTTGTTTGATTCTTTTCCAGTCTTTTAATTAAAAAAATAAAATTTAGTATAGTATAAAGTTGGTAGATACTAGTATCAACTAATCTACTTAATCAAAGGGGGGAAGAGAGGGGGACTTAAAATCTGATAGATAGAGCACCTGAATTAATCTGAAAAATAATCATATTATTTTAAATCTTAGAACACATATACTTATGTGTGTTAAGTTTTTCTTAAGTTTCCTTTCCAAGGCCTGTGCGAAGCAAGTGAGGAGGTAACTCAGCTGTGAATCCAGCAAGCAGAACCAATAAGCATGGTCAGACCGACCCACCAGGACTCAAAACATCATCCCATTAACATCCTCTCAGCAACATCATCTCATCACCTAATTCCATTCCCAGCTTTACCTTATCCCTTTCCCCCTTATAATCCTGTTCCCTGTACCTTGCTGGAAGGCAGGACTTGATGCTTGTAAGTGCCCTGTCTTCTTGGTTGGCTGGCCTTCTCAATGAATGCCTTATAATGATCCAAAGGCTTATATGATCCAACCCTGACTTTGTGATTGGACACAGTGACAGGCAGCCCGAGCCAAACAGGGGTTTCCCCAGTAACAACACTTTGGAAGGTAACAGAAGTGTTTTGTGTGAACTTCCTGGGTCATCATATGACATATTTTACTTTTTTTGCTCTCCATTTTTATTAAGGACAGTTAATAAATTAATCCATTGGTATAACAAATTATATATATATTTCAATTGTTCCAATTGATTTTTTAGAAGAGAAGGAGGGAGAGGCAGAGATAGAAACATCAGGTGAGAGAGAAACATCAACATTGATCAGCTGCTTC